CAGTTCTATCTTCAAGGTCTGTTATTTGTAGTTGTATTTCATTCTTGCTAAAACATATCAGTCTTAGAGGCTCAGCACTTGATCTGTTTTCTAGATAAGCTTAGTTTTTTGAGATGAACTCTGGCCCTCTCGAATTAAAGTAACTTCATTAACATATATTAAAGTTTATAAAGCATTCAGGTGGAGAATCAGACAAGGTTTATAATTAAAGTTACTCTGGTCCAAAGATTGAATGAATGTAACTGAGAATTTACAATACCTAGCCAACGTTTCGACACTCCTTTCTAGTGCCCTTATCAGGGGTGATCTAGTCGTTGCAACTAGAGGTCCTTTTTTACGCGCGCCAATTAGCTGCCTCTTTTTCTGACGAGGTGTAAATAGGCGTCAGGTAGTACGCAGCCATCATCATCATCACTATTTAAAGGAGCGTGGCAAAGAACTCACATACGGCGCACCATGATAATGAAAAAAAAAATATGAAAGCCGTGGGATATAATATATGCAAGATAACGGTACTTAGAAATTACATACCGAGGTCACTCTGACATAGTCTTGCTTGTTTGGGATTTTTCAAATTTTTTACATTACAGTTTCCGAACTCTTCATTATCTTACGCACATAAAACAACGGCATTTGCACTTAGAATGACTAACCATACGACACAATTGTTCACTGGCCAAACGGAATTTGCAGTATCTTATATTTTAGTTAATGAACGTATTGTTAATCATTTACAGACAGAAAAAAAACAACGGATCGTTTAGTGGATAGATACATATTTTAACGACAAATTGATGCTCAATGTTTTGATGATCACGCTAACCACATATTATCGTAGTTTTTTGTCATGCTAGTCTGTCATATGATGCAGACATATGAAATGATAATAAAGTTTCTAGAATATTCACAATTAGTTATCGTAAATGAGGCAGGTGGTCTAGTTTTTAGCAATTTATTTTAGAGCAGAGGACGATTTTGGGCCCAATATGGGCAAAATCACTCTCTCCTTACTCTAGTAATAAAAGCCAAGTAGAGCAGAAGAAGCTCTTAAATTTTCTATGTAGTTTCTCTCTATGATCACGTTTGACCTCTGCTATGTCAGCGTGATTAATTTTTAATCCACTCGTCGAGAGGCTTAGTAAAGGTAATTAATTTGTTTTCATCCAATGAATTTGTTTCGTCTAGTACAAGAGTTAGAGATATTAAATTAAAACAAAGAACAATAAGGTAACACCCAACTCTCAGTGGTTTAGAGAAAATGAGGGAAGTTTTTGTACCGTAAGAGGGAAGTTCTAAGTAGGATTACTCGTATCAATTTGCACATTTCGTAAAGTCAGTCGCAGAGGCCTGGCGATCTGCGCGATGAAGAAGTCGAATTTTGTCTTTGTTTGGTGCTTCGTGATATTTGTTTCTGTCTCACCGCAAGGTAAGCTGTATCATGACAATTTTGTGAGCGGAAATAGAGAAGGGACAGTAATTCTTCTGAATCATAGGTACTTTTTAGCACCTGCTATTTGTTTAAAGGTCTTGTTTTATTCTCCACAACATATAGCTGTTAAACGATAGCTTAACCGTAAATTCTTAAAACTTCTTAACCAGGTAAATTATTATCCCTACGGGTTCGTCAAAATACGGCACAACTCGTAAAAATACTCAGC